AGTGAGCTGAAGCACTTACGATTGATGAAGATCAAAGATTACATACCACCTTTGGTTTAGATTACAATTTAATGTAAGGAAAACAGAAATCCTTACAACTGGACCATTCGACAACCCTTTGATGAATGGAGAAAAGATGAACGTTGTCGGGAATTTCATTGTGCTTGGACCCACAGTCACTGCCCCTGGAAGCCTACCCACCCACCCACTGCCACCAAGCCATTCCCACTCATAGCAACCCCATCGAGCACAGGTGCCCCAACTTAATGTGACCTCTCGCCCCTCTTCAGAAAAAACAAAGCAATTGAAAGCTTTTGGACTCTGCCCTCTCTCACCCAGGATGAAATGTGTCTACAGCCCGTCCTGGACTGTTTCAGCGCAGCGTCACCCACTTTGGGAAACACTGTATGGGGTTTCTGAGACTGCACACTGTTATAAAGCAGACAGCCTCGTCTTCCTCCTGCAGAGGCACGTGTGGGTTTGAACTGCCGACCTTGTCGTTAGCAGCCCATTGCCTGACCCACAGTGCCACCGGAGCTCCTTGTTCATGGAAACCGCTGTCAAGAAGTAAACGTGTTGCATTGGGCAAAACTGCCACAGAGACCTTTTTAGAAGAGAGAGACGATGACCCTTTGCACCTAACGCAACCGTGACATGTTCCGTCCCCGCGTGTGCAGATGACGGCTGGACAGTGAGGAAGGGAGACTGGGGGATCGTTTATGTGCTTGAATGATGGTGCCGGTGACGCAATGCACACCATAGACTTCCAGAAGAACAACCGACTCTCGCGGAAGAAGTGCAGTCATAATTCTCCTGAGAAGCCAGGCTGGCTAGACGTCATCTCAGGTACTTTGGACCTGGTCTCAGGAGGGAGCGCCCCTGGACAGGACGTCCTGTGGGTAAGGTCAGCAGAAAGAGCAGGAGACCTTCAGCAAGATGGGTGGGACACAGTGACGGCAGCAGTGGGCTCCAACCTGACCGTGGTGAGGATGGCTCGTGACCAAGCCGTGTTTTGTGCTGTTGTAGTTAGGATCATGACGAGTCAGAGCCAGCTGTGCGGGCACCTCATTCAAGTAACAGCCACCGTAAAGTGATGAGCAAAGACTTCCAGGAGGTGAAGGGGTAGAACCAAGAAAATATCTGGGGAAACACTATGTTCGGCCAAAGGCAGCCATCCACATCAAGCCTTAATGGGAGAGTGTGCCTGGTTTAGTGCAAGGAACTTGAAGGGGGCCAGTGTAGCTACAGAGAAGAGGCTGAGGAAAGAGGTGATGGGGGGCCATAAGGATACTGTAAGGATACTGTAAGGATACTATAAGGATTGTAAGGATACTGTAAGGATATTGTAAGGATACTGACTACTCAGAGAAGAATGAGGGATCATTGGAGAGTGTTAAGCAAAGAAATTACAAAATTTTTAAATCACAAAATCCACTCTGCCAATGTACACACAGTTCGCTTATTGTTAGCATATTCACAAAGTTGTACACCACAACCATTGTCTGTACCAGACCATTTTCATCGCCCTTAAAAGAAAGATCTTGCTACTGCCCGTCCCCCCCATCCCCACACCCTGGGGAACCACTGACCGACTTTCTTTCTCTCCCAGTCTTTCCTTGTTCGGGATCTTTCATATGAATGGAATCACATTACCGGGGTTCTTTCTCTGATTCTTTTCAACACTCATTTGAGTTGGAGCATATCTGAGTGCTTCATTTCTCTTTACTGACAAATAGTATTCCATTATATGATGCCCCATGTTTTATTTTATCCATTCCTTTGTTGGTGGCCATTTGGATGGTTTGTTTCTGCTATTAGAAGTAAGCTGGTAAACCTGCAGGTACAGGTGTTTGTGCTGTACTGTTCTTTGGGGGATGTACTTAAGAGTGGAAGGCCGGGTTTGATCCTGACATTTTTAAGGAACTGACACACTTTCCGAAGTGGCTGTGCTATTTTTCATCCTATAGGCGAGGGGGTCCAACGTCCCCTCATCTTTGCCAACGCTTGCTGTTATTTGCCTTTTATTCTAGCCGTTTCAGTGAGTGTCGAGCAGTGTCTCATGGTGAGTTAGGTTGTATTTCCCTACTAAGCGATGATGTTGGACTTCTCTTACCGTACTGATGGACTCTTCATAGGTCTTATTTTTAGAAATGTGTATTCAGTACCTTGTTTATTTGAGGGGAACTAGGTTGTTTATTTTATTATTGCTGAGTTGTGGGAATATTTTGTATGTCCTGGATTTTAAACCCTTATCAGATATTTATATATGATTTGCAATTATTTACTCCATTCTCTGGATTGACTTTTTACTTTCTTGTCCTTGGAAGCATAAATGTTGTTTTTTTTGTTTTGTTTTTTAAATTATGACACCCCGTCTGATTTTTCTTTTGCTTTTGGTGCCCTATCTAAAAAACCTTAAGGTTGTAAGTGTTTACGTTAAGTTTTTCTTTTAAGAGATTATGGTTATAACGCAGACCTTTAAGTCTTTGTTCAATTGGAGTTCATTTTTACATATGTGAGGTAGGAGTCTGTTTAGTTATCTCGAGCTATTGTTTCAGAAGTATCATAAATACCATTTCCCCAAAAGTAAGACATTCCCCGAAAATAAGACCTACTTACAGTTTCTCTCTTGTTGAAATATAAGGCACCCCCCAAAATAAGACCTCCCCGAAAATAAGGCCCCCAGGAGCTACTGTAACTCTGTATTCTGGACCGTAGCGGCGGGCGCAGCTCACTATTAGCTGCAGCACAGCCGAAGCAGACAGGAAGTGCGAGGTCTTTTTTAATAAACAATAAACAATAAGTGTGTACCATATTCTTCTTCATGGAAAAATAAGACATTCCCTGAAAATAAGACCAAAAGAAAATAAGAGCAAAAATTAATATAAGACACTGTCTTATTTTCGGGGAAACAGGGTAGTTGGCTTTAACAAACAAAATTTTGTTTTCCCATAGTTGAGGAAGCTGTAAATCCAAACTCAGGGCACCAGCTCTAGGGAAGGCTCTCGCTCTGTGTTAGCTCTGGAAGAACGTTCTTGATTCCGTTTGGCATCCCTGCAGACTTCCATATGTTTTAACATCGATCTTGGGTGCAAAGGGTTCCCAGCTCAGGGGCCCCAGGCCCAAAGGATATCCTCTGTTCCTGGATCAGAATCTTTCTTGGTGATCATAGGGTTCTCTGATGTGCTCAGTCGTTTAATCTCATAAGAAAGTGACTCAAAATACAATTTATCCTATAGTCTGCATCTGCCTCATTGACATAGCTCTCACTCCCACTTCATTCTCGTCGCCAAGGTTAGGATGGACAACATAGGACAAGGACCTCATCACAAAGTGGGGGATAATGACAGAAAATTATGGCCTAACCAACTGAGGCATATTTCAGGAGAGGGGGACATAAGTCATAACAGGATCCAAATGCATCCTTCAGAATGTGGATATCTGGGTGTCCAAGTGCTGAAAAGACTATTTCTTCTCCCATTAAACTGTCGCATTGAAAACCAGTGGTCAATTAACAGTAAACGTGTGACTTCTTCCCTGGGCTCTTATCTGTGTTACATCTATCCATGCCCGTCCTGTGCCAGCGCCACACAGTCTTGGTTAATGCAGCTTTGAAATGGGGGTGTGTGAGCTCTCTCATCTTGCTCGGCCATTGCAAGATTCTTTTGGCTACCTGGGGTCTCATAAATGTTAGACCAGCTTGTCAATCTGCCAAAAGCCGGCTGGGACTGTGATGACGTCGACACTGACTCTGTATCCATTGGGGGACTGTTGCCTTATTGCCTTAACAATCACATCTTCCTCCATGAAGTCGTGATCGCTTTTTCACTGATGCAAATCTCCTTGCATTTCTTCTAATGACGTTTCATGGTTTTCAGCATCCACATTTTTTGTTCCATTTTTATTTCTAGGTATTTTGTTGTGTTTTAGGCATTTATAAGTCGAATTCTTCATTTTGTGTTTGGATGGCTCCTTGCTACTGTATAGAAGTGCCCAGGATTCTGTCCGTGGGTCTCCTGTTCTGTAATATTGTTCACCTTGTTGATTCTTTCTCCTCTTGTGTGTGTGTGTGTGTGTGTGCATGTGTATTCCTTAGGATTTTCTCCCTACGCACTCATGCCGGGTCAAGTAGGTACGATTCCTTTCTCCCTTTCCCTTCCAGAGGCCCACTGCTTCTGCTTCTTCTTGTCTGATTGCTCTGATTCCAGCCTCCGGGGTGATACTGAGTAGAAGGAGTGAGAAGAGATGGCCTTGTCTGGTCCCTGATTTTAAGGCTTGCTTTCTTGAATCATTAAGTATCATGTAGACGGCAGCTTTGTATAGATGCTCTACATCAGGTTGAGGGAGTTCTTCTTTATGAGTAGTTTGTAGAGGGCTTTTATCATGGAAAAGGCCTTTTCTGCATCTGTTGAGATGACCATATGTTTTAATCTTTTATCTGATCAATATAGTGTATTACACTGTTTAGATTTTGTATGTTAAGGCAACCTGGAACTCCTGGCGTAAGTCCAGTCTGCTCATAGTGAATAATCCGCATGTGTTGCTGGAATCACTGGGCTAGAATTTGTCAGTGACACGCATAGTAAAAACGTTCCACTGGATACTTGGGTTGAGAATAACGAGGGCAGAGGTGGAGTAGACTCTGGTCCTCTCAGTGTTACTTAAGATTAAAGGCCACAAGACCAAACGCTTTATCTTCTTACTATGAAAAATAGCTGATCCCCTCGAGATTGCTGGCTTTTCTCAAAGCAATAAAAGGGTGCCCGATGGCCACATAGTTCCTGCCAAAGTCTATTATAATTAGTAGAACAAAATATTTGTGTCTAATATTGTAAGTTCATTTATTCATCCTGCACATGTTTCCGTTAACTCTTTTTCTTTGATTGTAATTGTTAAGCCGGCGGAAGGGGATACAGGTCTAGAAGTTGTGATTTGAAGGGGTATCTAATCATTTGTGTTGACACTCATTCATCAAGTTAAAGAGAGTTTTTCCGTTACAGGGTCCAAGTTTAAGAAATACATCGGCCATTCGGCACACGTAACTAATGTCAGATGGTCCCATGACCATCAGTGGGTTATTTCCATTGGTGGAGCGGACCACTCGGTCTTTCAGTGGAAGTTCATTCCTGAGAGGAAGCTGAAAGACTCTCTTCATGTAGCACCCCAAGGTGAGCAGCACAAGCAACCTGGACCGCCTCCCTGACAAATAACCTCAGTAGAGCCTCAGTCCTGGCCATTTCAGAGTGGAACCGAGCTTCAAAACCTAGCCATCGAGTTTGCTAGTATGGACATTTTACGTGAAAATGTCCAGGTCCCTATTTCAAGTCCAATGTCCCAGAGCATGGAAGGCAGAGCTCTTTTGCTTGCATTTAAATACAGCAAATGATGCCTGAAGAAACCGTTCCCTTAGCAACACTGACATCTAATGTGATCCCCGGGGGAATCGCATCCAGGTGTTCTCTGAGTTCTTTAGACACGAGTGACTTCAGACTCAGGCCCCGGTTGCACCTAGTCGTCTCAGCTACTTGCCGTGTTCACGGTCGGCTGTAGTCACCTGTCTTGGTGCAGACCTTGGAGTTTGACCTGTCGCAGTCGGAGCCCTGGGAGGGACTGAGTGTGCCGTGAGTGGGGAGGGAGAGCCCTGAGAATACGACTGGCTCCGTGTCACTTGCATAGAGCATTCCGTTTGCTCGTCTCACGGCCCATCTCCACGTCTTGCTGATAGCTTTTATTGTTAAAATTGTTTATGCTTAAAATATTTAGTCCTTCCCTAAAACTCATTATCCTTTTTTTCAAAACCGTTTTATTGGAAGCACATACAGACTATTCCACAGTTTAATCACATCAAGCAGCGTTGTACAGTAGCTGCTACAGTCAGATTCAAAACCTCCGCTTCCTCCTTGAACTCCTTGATCTCAGCTGCCCTTCACCCCTCCCCTTACCCACCATGTCCCCCCGGAACCCTTATCTGCTTGTTGTCTCTCTAGGTTCATCAATTCTGGGGTTCATAGACTGAAACACAGAAAAACATGTAACATAAATTCAAGAGGGCTGCCCACGATAGCAAGATACACCAGAGATAAACCCCAATATGAAACAAAACCAAAAACACAGAAAATATTGAAAACCAGATCAGGCCCCAAAGGTGTCACAGCGGGTATCAAGTGACAGCGTTTTAACTGTTCAAGTCAGGTTTTTCGTTTCGATCTCCTATTCAGTTTATTCGGTTTATTCCCATCCCTCCATGACAGATGGAGGGAAATCCCTGGAGACTTATTTCCTGTGTAGAACTTGCAAATGTATCTTGGGCTCCCACTGTCATCCATCCATAGCCTTCCGAAAACCAGAATCTCACCATGCAGGCTCTGATACTAGTCCCGCCTTCAGCTTGTGATTGTATAATTTGCAATCCTTGTGTTATGAATGTTGGTGGGCTTCTTCCATGTAGACTTAGTTGACATCTCACGTAAGCGGCTGCTTGTTTGGAAACAAGCCTTTTAAGACCCCAGAAGCTATGCGGTCTGATAGCTGGGCACTGATGCTAGCTTTTACTCATTGGGTTTGGTTCTGCATTGGGCTGATGACTGCAAGGTCAGCAGTTTGAAACCACCAGCCACTCCATGGGAGAAGGTTGAGGTTTTCAACTCTCTTAAAGAGTTACAATCTCAGCACCACAGGGCCAGTTCTACACTGTCCTGTAGGGTCGCTGTGAGTTGACAGACTCAAGGGCAGGGAGTTTGTTTTGTTGTTGGTTTTGATAAAGGAGCCCTTTTTTTAAACCTCATTTTATTTTTAAAAATTACAGAAAGTCTGGCTGATTCTAATAGTGATGAATCAGATTCAGACCTGTCTGATGTTCCAGAACTGGATTCTGAAATTGAACAAGAAACACAGCTCACTTACCGTCGACAGGTAATTTTGCTTTATTACGAGGCAATTTCCCCCTAGAAATGTGCAGATTCATATTCCCTTGTTCTTCCGCCTTTGCTCATCTATTGTCATCTATTGCTTGGAATTTTCCAACCCTTTTGTGGTTATTTCAGTTTTCTTCCTTTAAGAGTAAAGGACACTTCCGTAAAATAATCCTTTTACAGTAAGTGCCTGGTTTGTTATGTGGGTTTGTAACGTATTGCCCTATATATCTGGTTGACATCCATTTATTTCCTTTACACTAATTTATGAAGGATTAAGGTTTCCTGTAACACTACATATGTATTTGTCTGTGTGATGGGTAGAAGACACATGTCATTTTGTCTTCTGCATAGGACATTTCATAAAGTGCATTCTCAGGTAAGACATTCGTTAGATCTAGAATAATCAACAGGGACCACAGTGGAGGAACGTTATTATCAGGAGCCTGCAAACGCCTGGATCATTGCATGTTGTAAGAGTCTTCCTCCTTTTGGGTGTTTTTCAAAGGTTTATAAAGAAGATCTACCTCAGCTTAAAGAGCAATGCAAAGAGAAACAAAGAAGTGCTACTTCTAAAAGAAGAGAGAGAGCCCCAGGAGACAGCCTCCGCTTGCATTTCGTCCATGGGTACAGCAGCTGCTTTGCACTTACTTGGTGGGGGTGTGGTTCGGACTTTTGAGCAAGTGACTAATCTTTCTGTGCCTCTGTTTCCCCATTTGTAAAACAGACAGAGTCACAGTGTCCACTTTCTAGAGTTCAGATGAGTGAGTGTTTGTGGTGACTTAGAGCTTTTGACACGTAATAAACACATTACACAACCCAGTCCACTGCCATCGACCCAATTCTGACTCAAAGTGACTACCCAGGGTTTCCACGACTACAAATCTTTGCAGAAGCAGAGAGCCTCCTTTTTCTTCCACGGAGCACCCAGTGATTTGAACCACTGACCACACAGCGGTCCCAACACCTAACAACCCACCGCGGCCCCAGGGCTCCTTGGATGCAGTATGAGTGCTCACGACATGTGTAAAAGTTAATGGGCGTCTTTCTCTGAGCAGGAGACGCCGTCGCCTCCCTCAAACACCCTGCTTGGAATGGCAGTGCGGCTTCGTGGGCTTGTAGCGTTTGGGGTCTTCATATTCTCATCTCAATAAAGGGCCGTTTCTGGATTCCGAGAACATCTGAGACCTCACCTCTCAGACTGGCAACAACAGAATGTTCAGTCCTGCGCGCGCGCGCGCACACACACACACACACACACACGCACACACACCCCCGTGACCCTCTTCCAGCCCTCATTGCCTTACCTGCTTGATGACACTTTTCAAGAATGTGGAAGGCATTGATCTGATGAACATTTATTTACTCCACTGTTTGAACAGATGGCGTATTTCTGCCCAATTGTAATTTATACAGATTTGAAGCTCCAGGAAAGGTTGTTATAAATGATGTTATAATGACCCTTTCAAGGACCTTTAGCTATGTTCCCCCTACATGTGTATAATATTTTAAGATTTACTTTTGGAGCATGTATTGTATTCCCTGGTTCAGTAGTGTGTGGGAAAGGGTATATTTTGGAAATCTCCCAGCTGCTGGTGCTCCCCACCCCCCACCAGCATTTCCCCCACCACAGGCCATCACTGCTGCTACGTAGCTTCAGATACATGTTCTTCACAAATACAGGCAAGTGCAGGTGTACGTTGCTTTCCGTACACTCTTATTTTTAAAAAGTACCTGGTTGTATCGTATACACGTTTAATATTATACGCGCATGAAAAGCAGTGTATGGGTGCAGTATTTTACACATTACTTCTTTCAATATGACAGCTTGGATTTAGGGGCTGTTTGAAATCAAAGCAGTTCCTACAAGTTTATGGGGCCTGAGATACACATTATTTTCTTGGAATGATTTCCCATTTCTTAAAGCTGGAAATTGAAGGGCTCTCAGGGAACCAGCGTCTTGAGCTCTGTGTACTCCAGATTGACTGTGGAAAGGCCAGGGTTAATTGACTGCGCTCTTGCCCTCTCTACTAGTTACAGAGGTTATGACTGTCGAAGCAATCTGTTTTACACTCAAATTGGTGAGATCGTGTACCACGTGGCCGCAGTGGGGGTCATTTATAACCGACAGCAGAACACGCAGCGCTTTTACCTGGGGCACGATGATGACATTCTCTGCCTGGCCCTCCATCCTTTGAAAGACTATGTGGCAACAGGCCAGGTAGGTTGACCTTGTCCTAGGTTATTCCACCTCTGGATACACCTTTTGTACTTTAAAGAGTGAAGAATACGGAATTCTTTTAGGCTAGTTTTAGTTTCAGGCTGTTAATCAAATTTATCGAAATGTTTCCCTTCTAGTTTGGGGGGGAACTCTCTGTATTATTATTTTTTTTTTAATTTGCAGTTGTCACCCAGAGCTCTGGCTTGGCTTCTTTCAGTTAGAATAACACTTAAACTTCTCCCTTTTAAAATTTTTCACAATGAGTAAAAAGGATTTAAAAAAAGACATAACTAGAAATCGGGTTCAGGTTGAGTAATTCAGATTATAAATGATCTAACTTTTTCTGTGACAAACAAGAGGACTATGTTTTATTTTGCAGCCTTGATCATAACATATTCACATTTACCAAATTAAAAACACAAATATTAAAGTAGAAAATACAGAGAAAAGTCTTAATTGCTACCTCTCTTTATGGGTCATCTCACAGAAGAACGGGAAGGAGTGATGTTAATAGAATTCTAGAAACAAATACTTGACAGATTTGTTTAAGAGAGAAATTCTTTTCCCTTGGGGTTTGTGTGTGTGTGTATTTTCTTCGCTTTTATTTGGTTTGTTATTGATCTATAATTAACCTTCATACAATCCAATGGGTCAGTCCATCAGGAAGGGTGCATCACAGTCAGCTTTCCCCCCTCTTTTACCCATTGAGGCACTTTAAGTTGGAGACATTATCTAATAAGAGCATTCAGCTAATTAGTTGTAAAGATTAGCGCCCTTATCCTCTCTGGCTCAAGCACTCTGAACATCTTCTTACCGCTAGGGAGTGTGGGGGCTCAGGTTGCATCATTCGGTCCATCTTTGCCCAGAGGGTCAGCCTAAGACCATAAGCCTAAGCCTATGGTCCTCAACGAGATGGACTGGCCCAGGGCTGCAGCCTTGGGCTGGAGTGGAAGAGTGATTGGGAGGAAGGCCCGCGTTGGGTACCTTCGCTCCATTGAACGTAGGCAGGCGTCGTCGTAACTATAGAGCGGGGATTCTCAGTCTCTGTTGACACTTTTGGCTGGGTCATTCTTCATTGTGGGCGACCAGCCTGCCATGTTGTCAGGTGTTACAGCACTCCTAGCATCTACCTGCTCGATGCACTGGAACCCCTCTGCCAGTTGTGGCTGCCAAATGTGTGTCGACATCGCCAAGTGTCCCCCGAGAGACAGATTCCTCCCCTAGCCACCCCCTCATTCAAACTACTAGTGTCGAGATATGCATCAAGTACCATAGCACCGGAATATAGGGATGGTTACCTGTGCCCCTTCAGAGGGATGAGTTGTTGACCTTACAGGAGGAAGTTGGGGGAGGCATGCATCATACATAAAGGTCTTGTATCATGCATAAAAGTGTCAAAGGGAAGAGCACAGTTGATGAAAGATCCCCGCATGGGTGCGTACTCCACCATCATGAATGACACAGTCACTATCCAGACTAGGAAGTTCATGACCAACTGTGGTAGTCACCTAATCTGGTGGAGGCTAGGTGGTCAATCTGGAGGTGGTCATGGAGACTTCTGTGTGGGCATGGCCTTCTCCTGAGAATTCTGGGAAATCTGGTACTTCCTCCTTGGAGGTGGAAGACACTCTCTCTCTGTTACTCCATGGGAGACATTGCAGAAGACAAGCCACATGGACCCAACCAGACCTCGGAAGCCGGAGAAGCCACAGAGAGACCCCTGCCGGCGATGAGATGCTTACAATGCCACTGGACCCAAAGACTTTCTGTCCACTGGCTTCTGATCGTCCTGCATTTGGCTTCATTGCATGTGTTTCGTGAGTCTGAGGAGGACTTTATGGATTGGTATCAGACATATGGGCTAATATGGCCTTTGACTGGACTGGGTTGGGATGTCTTCTCAATGTTCTTCTTGTATATAAACCTCTCCCTTACATACCTAGGCGTGTTTATGAATTTGTTTCTCTGGTCTACCCGGACTAACACACCAACTGATGACTTCAGTGACAAGTGGTCATTGATGCCCTTGACCCTGGGAAAGTGATAGTGAAATTTGTGGAAAACTAGCCAAAATATACCAAACTACATCAGAGGACATTTTTGTATTTGGATTTAAAACCCATTTTGGTGGTGGCAAGACTACTGGCTTTGGCATGGTTGACGAATCTTTGGATTCTGCAAAGAAAAATGAACTTAAACACAGACTTGCAAGACATGGCCTGTACAAGAAGACAAACGGCGCAAGGACTGCAAGAACAAAACAAAGAAACTCAGAGGGACTTTAAAGGCCAACGTTGGTGCTGCAAAAATAAACGAAGTGTCTTAGTAGAAAGAACAAAGATTCTTCTGGGATTTGATCTGCAGGGATTGTTCACCAGAGAAGTAAGAAACTATAAAATTTTAAAACAAAATCAACCCCCAGAAAAGAACCCTGCATAACCCAATGTGTTCAAATTGTTGGGTTATTGACTCGAGGGGGAGAACTAATCAGAAGTGTAGGTGGGCGTCTCTTGAAGCCCTTCGGCGCCCCTGAACTGTGGAAAGGGGTTCAAAATGATCCTAGGACTACAGGACACTTAGGGAAACTGGCCATTGATGAGTGTGCTATGAGGACTTTCATGAATAGAGGTCAGATGAAATAACAGCCGATCTGCTACAAGAAAGCCCTGGGCCACAGGCCACAAGCTCCACTATTGATGGTTTCACTGACCAGCAGGCACCAAGCCGCCTCCCCAGGCTCCGGCTCACACTGTCTGCTCTCCTGCCTCCAGTGCTTCTGAGTTCTCTTCTTTAAGAGCACTAGCCAGTCCCAGCTCTCTGCATGTGCAGGCTTCTCAAATAAATATGCTTCTTAAGCGTGTTCCAAATGAATGAAACATGGTCTTGATTTTTCAAGTATTTTTGAAGGACTTTATTTGAGGGTTTTGACATTCCAAGGTCAGGTCTCATTTTCTTTCTGAGCACAGAGTACAAAGAAGACTATCTCCCACCTGCTACCCACCCCCACCCCCACCCACCTCATGTCATGAAATGTGATCCTCCATGTTGGCTTTTTTTAATAGAAAGACCTATTTTATATTTCCTTTTAATAGATAAGAAAAATACCTAATTTCATGGCATAAAATAACTTGTATTTATTTCCTATTGTAGGTAGGGAGGGATCCTTCCATTCACATATGGGACACAGAGACCGTTAAACCATTGTCAATCCTAAAGGGCTACCACCAGTATGGTGTCTGTGCTGTTGATTTCTCAGGTAAGGTCATTTCCTGCCTCGGTATGAAGGATCCCAATGCAGAGGTAACCCAGAGTGTTTCAGTGAGACTTTGGGTGGCCCAGGCATGTTATGAAATGTGTACACTGGTATCCCAAGTCATCCCAACTATGAACTGTGACTTTGCCAGCTAGTTTATAATTATCATAAAATGAGTATGATTTTTAGTACCATTAAAAGAAACATGTTTCTAGTACAATAAAATGTGTACATAACGCCTAAAACCATCTCAAGTACCACTAGCAACGTGTATCTTCTGCTTTGGGCAAACCCTGTTCTGTTAATGTTTCATAGCCACAGAGGAAGCTTTGGAACTGTTTAGGGTAAAAAGGCTAAGAAAAAAAAGAGGGAGAATGAAAATATTTCCTAAATAGTTCTCAGAAGTGATCGTGTTCTTAATTGAATTAGGACCCCCTAAAATCCATGCTGGAGTTCTTACTCCTGTAACCTGGGGTGGATTACCATCTGGGAGGGCCCTTGTTGTTATGTGATGAGCCTCGTCTTCAACCGACTTACTTAAAAGAAAGCGGTTGTTACTGAGCACGGTTGTTACACAGCAAAAATACACATCGCTTCTACATGTAAAATGGAGTGACATTTTATTCTTCAAGTTATCCGGCCTTCCTCTCCATCTTTTCCTGAGCTGGTCCTCCCCCATCAAATGTAAACCAGCTGCCCCCTAAGGTTCCTGCCTCATCGTTCGAGCTCCTGTGGTCAGTTTGATCCCTTAGAGATGGTTAGCTAGTTACACTACGTTCTTGTTTTCCTGTGGCTTAAAGAGAATTCTAGAGCAATCTATATAGAGAGGGCTCAGCTAACCTCCACGGCTCCAAGAAGTCTGGATTCTGTGATCATTTGAAATTCTGTTCTGCATCCCCCTGCCTTTTTATCAGTATTTATCTGCAGAATTTCTTATCAAAATACTTGGTAATGGCAGCTGGGCACCATCCCATTCTTCTGGTCCCATAGCAAAGTAGGCAAGTGTTCATGGAGACAATCGGCCCAGTTCCGGTTCCTCCTCTTCTGAATCCTGGTGCTTGTTAGAGTTGTACGCATGCCTACCATCTAGCCAACATGATTTTATAAAAACTTAAATACAATGCTCTTGGTTTTGAATACATACTGAATGTTTCTCATCTTCCGCGGGTCAATGTCCACAGCGGATGGGAAGCGTCTGGCTTCGGTGGGAATAGACGACAGCCACACAGTTGTGCTGTGGGACTGGAGGAAAGGCGAGAAGCTCTCCCTGGCCAGGTAGGGAGACGTGCCATTATGTTGGCAACATACCAGAATTACTTTGGACTTCAAGGGGGTTTGTAATCAGAAGGGTGGTTGTGGTGTTTGTAATCAGAACAGCTTTGAAATCGAGTAGACCTGTTAACTTTTACTGTTGCCATCGTCATTACCACCAAACACATTATCGTGTGGTCCTGGCACGCGCCCTCCGCTCACACCTGAGACAAGCGGGTCAGCACGGCAGGGCACCTGCCGTGAGGCAGAGAGGCTCCTTCAGCGGAAAACACTGCTTGCCTGTATTGCAGAGGGAGCAAAGACAAGATCTTTGCTGTGAAGATCAACCCCTACGTGCCTGACAGATTGATTACCGCGGGAATCAAACACCTGAGGTTTTGGCGCCGAGCAGGTAAGGACGTGCCGCTCTTTAAAGCTTTGCTGTTTAGTGCCGAGTGGCTTCTAGGAGGGCTTTTAGCCAGAAGCAACGTGTTACACACTGTATTGGCTCCTGGAACAGAAAAGGGACATTGGTAAATGCGGACAAAGTCTGTCCTCAGCGGTAATCATGGTGTTTTTTTATTTTGACAAAAGTCCCTCTCTGATATGAGATGTCAACCACAGGGCAAAATGGCTAAGAGGTCCTGAGAAAAACTCGGCCACGGCTGAATCACTTTTGAAATCAAGTTACCCCCCCCAAAAAAAGGTTCAAATTTATTTTTATTTTTTAAGCGATTCACAATCATCTTGGTGCATTGTAAATAAGTGTGGATTTTTATTTTCTTGTCTCTTATCTATATTTATATGCACTGGGCTGCGAGCCACATAGTTGGCAGTTTGAAATCACCAACGGTTCTGCAGGAGAAAGACTGGGCATGCTACACTTGTAAATAGTTGCAATCTTGGAAACGCACAAGGTTTGGCTCAGCATTGACTCAATGGCAGTGAGGAGTTTGGTTTGGGTTTGGTTATCTGTATTTATAGTAGATTTATATTTGCTGGAGAATTTACCTCTGGAGATTCATCCCATGCTGTCTAAAAAGCCTTCCTTCTGTTGAAGGCATATTCTGAATGGGACATTTTTCTAATACTTCTTTCTACGATGTTAAGTGATGCAGAAATGGTCAGGGATTGCTATTGCAGTGAGTTGTAACTGGAAGTACGGTCTTATGCAAGGTCACAGTGGGAAAAGATTTGTCTCTTTTCCAAATAGAGTAATATACTTATGGAGGTTTTACAGGTAACATCGAAAGCTAAGTAAGTTGCATCCTTTCTGACAAAGTCTGTTAGGTGTACACGGAGTCACGAGAAAGAAGAGAGGCTGCAGAGCGAAGCGCCCTTTCAAGTGGATACGTTTCCGGTTGTCAACTGCGCAGGATGAACGGGTTTCAAGCCCCAAGACTTCAAACCTGATCCCATCATCGTAGTCGGGATAATGCACACCTGCAGAGTGAAAAGAAGTAATTTCACACGTTTGCGATTCCATGCACTGAAATGAACTGCTTTTCAATGGAGCATCTCGGTCACTCCCAGCAGTTCAACCAATTGCTGTGAAGGCGGGGCTGTCCCGGAGGACGGTGGAACCGCCCCTTAGGGTTTCTGAGACTGTAATTCTTTTTGTTTTCTTTTAAAAATCATTTTATTGGGGGCTCGTAGAACTCATCACAATCCATCCATCCATCCATTGTGTCAAGCACGTGTACACTTGTTGCCATCATCTTTCTCAAAACATTTTCTTTCTACTTGAGCCCTAGGTGTCAGCTGAGACTGTAATTCTTTATGGCACCAGACGGCGGCATCTTTTGTCTTCACAGTGCCTGCTGGGTTCCAATTCCTGCCGTTCAGCTCACAGTGCAGTGCTTAACCTGCTGCACACCAGGGCTTTATTTCTGTCTTTAAAAAAATAAATCAACAAATGACTGTTGGAAATAACAGCTTTAAAAAGTAAATAGCCTTCAAATGAAGAGTTTGCAATTGAGTGTCTTTTGGGCCCCCGAAGGTTGATGAGACCTAAAACGGAACCATCTGAAAGCACACGTCAGGGCTTCGGGGCAGACAACCCCTCCGGTTACAACAGAGATCTGTTCTAAACTGTGTCTGTAGGACTGTCAGTGGAATGGGGAGGTGAATCAGGACACAGGCGCATACAGTGCGTCTCTAGCCTTGATTAAGTGCACGGAAAGGCTTGACACCTTCTCGGTCATTTACAAGCTGGACGTTCAGCAAGTGAAGGTGGCTGCCCTGTTGGTTCTGTCGTACAATGGGAGGGCAACTTTACAGAACACAGAAGGGCAAGTTGGGGGTTGTTTGTAGGCCATGGGTTCTCTTCGGTTTTCCTGGCTGTGGGGGTTCTTATCTAAGAGAAGCACGTACTTAGCTCATTTGTCTGAATACGAAGTGTCCAGTGCTCTTTCTTAAGCTCTTTCTTAACATATAAAAGCATTGAATCTTTTATGTGTTGAAACAACTCACTGCTGGCGAGTCAATTCTGACGCATACCAACCCTCTAGGGGGTTTCCAAGCCAGAACATCTGTACAGGAGCAGGCAGCCTCCTCTTTCCCCTGTGGAGTAACTGGTTGGTTTGAACCACGGACCTTGTGGTCTGCAGTCTAATGCTTACCCAGCACCACCACCGGGACTCCTGAAAACTCAGACACAGCTGAAACTCCATTCATATGGAAACGGATAAACTGTAGTCTGTTCATGTAGTAGAACTACATAACCATTCAATTTTAAAAGCGTTTTCTAGAGGGGCGAGTCAACGTGTATAAATGTCCACAGCAAACGGTAAATAAAGCAAGCTACAAAAGAATATATATAAAATAGTGTGTTTATAGAAACTTTTAAGACATGAATAATAAGTTGACTCATTGACTAAGCATTCACAAATACTCTCGTGTAGTGGACGCACAAAGGAATGCATGAAAATGACCACCATGACCTTCAAGATAGTTGGGGGGAAGACTGGAGATGGGGCTGGTATGATCCTTCCATTGTTGGGGTAATTATTTTCATGTTGGTAGTGGATATACAAGTGTTGGTTGTTATATTTATATATTTTTAGTATTCTTTAATATGTCATAATGTTGAAAAACATTATGAAGAGGGATTTAGCCCAAGTTTTTGCCTAGCCAGAAAGGTAGCCTAAAGGTAGCCGCAGGTGTGACTGCCTCAACCAGGCAGGTGGTGGTCACCTCCCTGATTGGGACAGTGCCCTTTTTACCTCTCCTTATCTTTGCTGCCTTTGAGTCTGGCGGCTTGGCTTACACCTGGGCTGAGATCCACAAGGTCAACAGTTTGAAACCACCAGCCGCTCCGCGGGAAAGATGGGGCTTTCTACTCCCGAGAAGAGTTACAGTTTGGGAAATCCAAAGGGGCAGTTTTTACCCTGTCCTGTAGGGTTGCCATGAGTCAGAATGGGCTCAATGGCAGGGAATTTGGTTGTTCTCTTTGCTGCTAATCACAAGGTCAGCGGTGAGAACCCTCCGGCCCCTGTGCGGGAGAAAGACGAAGCGTGTTACTCTCATGAAGATGTGGTCGCAGGAACCCACAGGGGCAGTTCTGCGCTGCCCCCGAGGCTCGCGGTGGGTCAGGATGGAGTCGATGGCCATGCATTGTGTGTCTCACGGTCATTACGAGTTGTTCTCTTCTGTCAAGTAGAAAAGAAACCTTGGCTGCTTTATCGCGGCGTACATTTGGGACGGTGGTGCTGTGCTCATTCTCCTTGTCAACCAGGGGGAGGCCTGATTGGCAGAAAAGGCTACGTAGGCACACTGGGGAGAAACGAGACCATGATGTGCGTGGTGTGTGGGTGGACCGAAGAGATGGCCTTCTCGGGGACGTCCACGGGAGACGTGTGCATCTGGAGGGACGTCTTTCTCGTCAAGACCGTGAAAGCGCACGACGGGCCCGTGTTCAGCATGCACGCGCTGGAGAAGGTGAGTGGCCCGGAGACACTGCTGGTCAAACGTGACTCCGGCACGGAGCAGCGAGCCCTCTCAGAAGCGACTGGCCCTCTCCAGTCTCCCTGGCTGGGCTGCTCAGCCACGATGTGTGGCATCAGTGTGGCAGGCGCGTGACCAGGGCTGGCATCCGGGCCGTGTTTTCGCCCTTGGCAAACTCATGAAGACAAAGTCAAGTAAGTCAGCTGTGTTGGGTTTTTTCATTGTGTTTTGTTTCGTTTGTTTTGTCTTAAGTTCATAAGCTCCTCCTTGGTGTCAAATGCTGGGCCAAGTGCACTAGGAGGAGCGGGGATTGTTACTAACCTCCGTTTGCCAAAAGATGAAGTCATGAAGGCCGCAGGAAATGACAGGCTTTGAAATCTGGAGCCCTTCTGTGGAAGTCCTGTCGGCAAAGAAGACCCTCTACTGTGTCCTGCAAACGATCGAGCACGTCCCATTCCGTCCCATTCCATGCCGGGGTGGAGGGAAAACACCTGCTCTGGACAAGCGGTCCCTTCTAGCTGCTCATAGCCTTTCAGCTAGAATGTTTTCATTTAAAGGATGTTTTTTAGTACGTTTAGATCTTCATTAACTTGACCCTTTCCTTTCCTTAGGGATTCGTCACTGGTGGGAAAGACGGGGTTGTTGCTCTCTGGGATGACGCCTTTGAGAGGTGCCTCAAGACGTACGCCATTAAAAGAGCGGCCCTGGCCCCCGGATCCAAAGGTGATTTGGGATTCCGTTTCCTTTGTGGGAGAAGGGATGAACTGCTCATCGGCAGGCTCGGTCACAAACCCCTGGGGCCTGCTTTTCCTTGTGTCCTGGAAGGGCCGCAGCTGCTTAACTGGGTACCAGACTCATCGCTGTCTTTGCAAGCTCGATTTTCAATGGTGCACATGGTCACACGCCGACCCAGGACAGCATGTTGTCGCTCCTTTGGAACGCTGTACAATTTCCACAGGAAATACCCACAAGAGCATCACTTTTACCAGCTGTCAGGAGCTTGTCTGCAAACTCGGCATGGTGGCACAGTGGTTACAACAGTGGTTAGTGCTGCTAACTGCAAAGTCAGCAGTTCGAAACCACCAGCCACTCCGTGGGAGCAAGACGGGGCTTTCCACTCCCGTTAAGAGTGAACAGTCTCAGAAACTCACAGGGACAGTTCTACCTGAGGGCAATGAGTCTGACCTCTTGGGCCCTGTCCCCTGGCCCTTTCTTTCAGCACGTGTCTCCCTCCGGTGCATCCCACCAGGCTCTCCAAGCTACGTTTGCCTGCAACCTTCCATTCCTGCCCCGTGCTGCCCCTTCCAATGACCTGACCATGTGCGCATTGATTAGATCTGACACAATTTCTTCCTGGGATGAAACCCGCCCCCCCCCAAAAAAAACCCAAAAAAACTAGGTTGAGTTCCACTGCTCCCTGATACCTTTTTCCATAGGATGCTGATGATACAGGGTCTGTTCTCCCCAATGGATGCTCTTGATGGGAGGAAGCTGGCTCTCCATTGCTTATCACTCAGCCACACCTCACCCAAGACAGGCTTCAGTGGGTGTGGCCTTGGTCAGAATGAAATGAGGAATTAGGCTATGTTAAATTCTCTAGGCAGGGCTGGCAGGAAAGGCACCCTGGTGGCGCAGTGGGTTAGAATCGGTCAGCAGTTCAAAACCAACAGCTGCTTTTCAAGGGGACAGACGAGGCTTTCTGGTTCCATGAAGATTTATAGCCTCGGAAACCCAGGGGCAGGGCAGGGTTCTGCTGTGGTTGCCGTGCTGTTTCTGAGTTATGCAGGGCAGGAGGTGGGCAAGGAGTGACCAGTAAGAGAGGCAAACAAATGGTTGTCCAGTGATGGCAAGGGATCGGGGCTAGTACAGGACCATAAAATCAGGTGGACTTATTTTTGAGAGGAAAAAATACAGTGTGTTTATTAAAATTCTTAAAATATAGGGAAGGCAACCTTCTAATGTGATTTGTAGTGTCGAAATAGCACCACTGGCACTATTTGAAAGCTTTGTGCTGTAATCTCCGTTTACCCTTGCAGGCCTTCTCTTGGAAGATAACCCATCCATACGTGCCATATCCCTAGGGCATGGCCATATTCTAGTGGGTACAAAGAATGGCGAAATCCTAGAAGTGGATAAAAGTGGCCCGATCACGCTACTGGTCCAGGTAAGCCTACCACCAGTGTGCTGCTTTTCTGCGCACAACATGGGCTCCTTCCACCCATAAAAACTAAAAGTTGATAGTGCTGAAAAACAGTGTTGTGCTAATCAAGAAAAGCTTGTTAATATACATAAGAAATTAAGTTGATTATAAATGTGTGAAAATCAATAAACAAGTATGCCTGCTGCCTGGTGGATTAATTGCTGATACTTTCATGTAATTTCTTATCACCAATTAGAGACCAATGTGAAGAAAACCAGTTGGAATTAACATAATTCATTCCCTTTATTTTGTATTTATTTTTTTAATATTTAATATTTGTCCAGCTTAAAGCTATTATATTTCTGTAACACTGTTTAGCTCATTTTTCACTTAGGAAAGGGGAAAAATTCATGCTGCCTGAATATTTGCCAAAGGTTTATTCCTGTACTAGTTTCCCAGGGCTGCTGTACAAAATTACCAACCAGTGGCTTAAAGCACAAAGGTGTTCTGAAGGCTCACATGCAGAGTGTGAGCGGGGCAGTGGTCTCTCCAGAGGCTCTGCTAGTCCCTACTGGTGCCTGGTCTATGGTGGCATCACTCCAGTCCGCAGCTCAGTCTTTACTTGGTCCTTCCGTGTGGCCTCCTTTTAATTGATTGCATCTGCTGGGATCGCATTTGTAAATGACGTCATTCACAGGTACTGGGAGTCAGGTCTGTGATCTTTGGGGAAGGCACAGTTCAGTCCATAACAATTCGTGGAAACCTTTATCAGTGCTGAAAAGGTGTTCATTGTAAGACGAAAACAAAAATGTGTGTGGGAGAAATTTTAAATATATATTTAAATTTTAGATATAAATTTAAATATGACCAGCTGCTGGTCATATGACCCTTTACCTGGCCGTTGTTGGTGGGTGCCATCGGGTTGGTTCCGGCCCACAGCGAGATGAGGAGCATTATGTGCAAGACTCCTGTATCCCTGTACTTACCATGTTTTCTTTGCTGAAAAGTAGGGAGGGATATAAATCAATCAAAAACATATTTAATGAGGTAGGATTTATCCTGATGAAAAATTGTCCTCATTCAACTTAATAGTTAAGACCAAGCTTTGGTTTCTCTTTTTCCTGAAAAGGAATTACTACTTTGTCAGTTCAGAATTACTGATTCTCCAACTCCCATTTCAGCCCAGCTAAGACGCCGGTGGCGTACAGAAAGGAGAACGCTGCACCTGCTTCGATGTGGGTAGAGCAGCCTGACGTATCAAGGAGAATGTGCAGTCCCATGACAGAACATTGTATACAATTGGGCTTCCAAAAGTTTGTGGGGAAATTCCATTGTCTTTTCATTCCGCTTTTCCACAAACTTTTTGAAGATCTCTCAGATTAATTAGCAAGATTAGTCTTCTTTCTGTTTAATATCAGCTGTATGTAAAATGCCTTTGAAGGGAAAAAAACATGGAGGCATGGGATTTAGCATGCTTTTGATCTCTTGGAAAGCATTGATGGGGTATGTATCATTAGCATGGGGTCAGTAACAGATAAACCCACTTGTGGGACTTTCAAAAATAGCCATAGTTTCATAGTGGTGAGAAAATATTTAGAAGTCCTCAATAATATGCTGTTATTTCAGATATCTTTTATAGAGTTAAAGATTTCAAATGTCAAGTCTTCTTTGCATCAGAAGCAAGATAAAGATTCTCTCCGATATTGTCTCGCTTGTATATGAAGTCTTAGCCAATCCAGTAAAATAGAACAAAATGCTTCCCGCCCCACCCCCGCAGGCCCAGGTAAAACCAATACCTTGGACACACCCACCTTAGGAACATCACAGGTGGGCCTAACTCAACCAATGGGGTCAACCAATACCTTCAACCACGCCTCCCCCGCCAGAGGTGTTAAAGGCTGACTGCGGGAATGCCAGTTTCTCTCTCTGACTCTGGTCTTGTGGCAGCTCAGAGGGTGGGGGCACACAGGTGCAGCTTGGCGTGCCCCTCAGGGCCCACTCTGGGCCTCCTCAGGGCCCACAGGTGTTTGGGCTCTTAGGCTCTTGCCCTCTTGACCTTTTTGTCCCCAGGATTCCCCATTTCCACACGTGTGAGTGTTCTTGTCCACGTGGTTTTTCATGCTCAGTTGTGAATCCCAGCACAGCTTGCACATAGCTTGGCACACTGTCCAGCAATATCATGTACCCTTTTGAGACTAAAACCTGAAACTTTTCTGTTCCTTCATAAAAAATCACTTGAGTTACAAATATATATATATAACAAAGCAAGAAAGGTGTTAGAAATAAAGGCAAAGCACTGCCAGTGGTTTGCAGGTCAAATGATCTTATACCTTAAAAGTTCAAGAGAATTCCTTGAAAAATGATTACAGCTAATTAAAGAGCCAGAAGACCTTTCGTGTTAGTGTTTCTGGTAAAGTGGGTCTGCTAGCAACACGTTCTCTCTGGTTGTTTGTGTGGGTTTATGTTTTTTGGTGGTTGGATTATGCATTGGGCTGCTGATCACCAAGTCAGCAGTTTGAAACCCCCAGTCTCTCCACTGGAGAGAGGTGAGACTTTCTATCTTGTAAAGATCGCCTGAGGAAGAGCGCATTGCCAGGTCTAGGGTTCTCCGTTCATAGCCCCACCCCCACCCCACGCACACTTCAAACACTTGGAATAGATTATATGGCCTTTATTGCTTCTGATTATTTAAATCAGCCGTTACTTTGATTGGAATTCCTTTATAAGTGATGAGTGCCTGTCCTCTTGCTGTTTTTAACACTGTCTTTGCCAGCCACCTTACAGGGTGTCTCTGGGCCTTTTGTGTTGTTTCTTAAATGAATGGATGAGTGTTTTTCATCAAAATTGGGATGTTTTCAAGCATTTTTGTTTTGGGTTTTTCCCCCCCTGCAGCTTTCTCTTCTCTTCTCCTAAAACCTTACGTTAACGTGGTGACTGGTGTCCCGTGTTTGAAAAGTTTCATTGACATGTAATTCACATATACAATTCAGTAGTTCAGCAGTCACATTAATGAGTGGTGCAGTCGTCACCACAGTCAATGTTTGCTGAAGTTTTGCTCATTTTTCTTGCCTTTTTTTCTCTGCTCTTCAGATTGCTAGGTCTCTCGATCTGCATTCAAAATTGCTCATACTTTTTTTCTGCCATTTCAGTCAACTCTTGCCATCTCTGGTGAATATTTCATTTCATGTCTTTGTTTTTAATTCCAGAATTTTTCTTTTTATTACTATTTTCAGCTGGTAAGATATTATTATCGATTATGTTAAAGAATTCTGCTTTTACTTCTTTAAGCCAGGTGTCCTATAATTCTTTGAATACGTTTCTAATGGTGGCTTTGATCCTTTGTTAACGCTGAAATGGGATGGTCCTGTTGAAAGCATGCTGGGGGAACCTGGATGATTGGCAGGACCGGGAAGAGCAGCATTCTGCTCTTCACCGGAGTGTAGGCTGCCATCTTTGAGCAGGGAAACTGCTGTCTCAGACGCTGCGAACCGGTAGACGGGTTGTTATGCAGTGCCCGCGCTGCCCTTGTTTGCTGAGAGGGAGCTTACGTTTTTTGCAAGTTGTCTCCTCTTCAGTTTTTCCCATTCTGGTTATTCTTCTGGCTCACATTTTCCAAATCTGGTCTGCTCTGTTTTCATTTCATTGGCCGTGACTGAACTGGGAATACCCAGTTTGGAGCCCTGTTTTCAGGGTTTTGCCCCACAGATTAAACCAATCAAATTAGGGATAGTTCTTTATGCCTGTGTCTGGCATTTCTGATTCCCAGCACGCTCCTCTCAGTCTGGCTTACAGTTTAGCCTACATGTTCAATGAGTCTACCATGGTGTTTTAAGTTTTTTTTTCTAAAGAGTGTTTCTTTAGTGTTATATGTCAATGGATCTCAACCTTCCTCATGCCGTGTCCCTTTCATACAGTTCCTCTGTGGTGGTGACCCCCAACCATAAAATTATTTTCGTTGCTACTTCATCACTGTCATTTTGCTACTGTTATGAATCGGGCAACCCTTGTGAGAAAGGGTTGTTCGACCCCCAAAGGGGTCACAACTCACAGGTTGAGAACCGCTGCCCTATGTCTTTGGAAACAATTCCATAGACTTTAAATGTTTGTTTTGTGTTTTTATTTTCACAAAGTTTCATTGGTGAAGAGGAGGCGCCTGAGAGTTTGGAGAAGAGCTTATTTCTTGGTCGTGCCAGGAGTTAGTCCCAGGCATCAACTGTCAGCATCCCGGAGCATATGCTTGCCACCCAGAACGTGTGTTAGGGTTATAAAATAATTTTAATAGTACCTTGTTTATATTGCAATTGTTGTGATAAAGCCATTTTAAAGGTAGGAGAGAATTTTGTTAGACTTGTCCAGAATAGTCGTTCTTCCTATCCATTATCAGAGGTTATTGAATGTGATCTTTAGTTTTATTCTAAGCCAGGCCTCTGCAATGTATTTACACATGTGATTCGGTTAAATGGATCTTAACTCTGCTTTTTCAATAGGGACACATGGAAGGAGAAGTGTGGGGTTTGGCCACACATCCTTACCTGCCCATATGTGCTACTGTAAGTGATGATAAAACCTTAAGAATATGGGATCTCTCTCCTAGTCACTGTATGTTGGCTGTCCGGAAACTGAAAAAAGGTAAGAAGAAACTCAGATTTTAACTTCTAGGTTAACTAGTTGGCAGTTTTCTAATCCTTACACCTAAAAGAAGGTAGTGGTAGTCATGTAAATAATTGAAATATTTTGAAATTTTTGTGTGTCCACTTGTTCATCATCTGTGTAAAGAGAGTTCCCTGCACCCAGTCTTTACTACATGATATGCCCTATAACCATACCTAAAAAGGGGGCCAGTTTTTAATGGTATGTGGGAAGGGAAAAAAAATTGGTGATGGCTTACATGTACCTGTGATGCTGGAAACTATGTCAACCATATTTCAAATACTAGCAGGGTCAACCACGGTATCAGTGATACTTTAAGACTAAGAGCAGAAAAGAATGGAAGAATAGGCAGTCCACTTTTGAGGGATTAACCACTAAAACCTTTATGAATAGCAGTAGACCATTGTGTGCTATCATGACAGAAAATGAGCCCCTCCAGTAGAAAGACACTCAAAGTACGACTGAGGCAGAGCTGCCTCCTCAAAGAAAAGCAAAACAAAAACTGCCATTGAGTCAAAGTGCTGACTCATGGCGACACTGTAGGACAGGATTGAACTACCCCTGTGAGTGTCCAAGACTTACTCTTTATAGGACTAGAAAATAGTGTCTTTTTCCATCATCTGGTGGTTTCAAACCGCTGATCTTTCAGGTCACAGTCCATAAGGTCACCAGTTCAAAAGTAAATCCAACCTTAATGATATGGATGGACAAAGCTTTTGGACCTTCATGTGCATGACGCAAAATGAGGGTCTGCATGATTCCACCAGTGAAAACATAGACTGCACGAAGCACGAGCATAGGGAAATTGGAAGTCATGAAAAATTAAAGGAAACACAGGCCTATCAATAAAGTAGGCACTAGTGAGCTGAAATGGACTGGTATTGGCCATTTTGAGTTGGACAGCCACATGGCTTGCTGTGCAGAGTGGCAGATTCAAGAGGGACAAGGTTTCGATTCGTCATCAAAAAGAACATTTCAAGACCTTCCTGAAGTTAAAAACTGTCTGTGCCAGAACACTACTGTATATACTTGTGTGTGAGCTGAGTTTTCCAGCACATGTTTAATGCAGTTTTTGTGGTAAAATTAGGTGCCTCAGCTGATAATCGGGTCGGCTTATACTCGAGTGTATACAGTACTATTTATCTACAAGGAAAAGAACTTAATTCATATTTACACATCAACCGCATAAGCTAGTGATGAAAAAAGATGAATTCTACTGACTTCTTTAGTCTGAAATTGATCAAACATGTAATCCGTGTTTTATTCCGTTGTACATAGAAGTGAGTGCTGGTCAAGAGCCTGATGCGCCAGGGCAGTGAGTCAGATCAGGATTTGGGCCACCAGATCTGGAGTGTTCCCTTCTGATGTTGAGTGTATCCCTGCTGCCCATTTTGGTAACAGCATCATCAACTTTGGTTTTGGCTGGTGAACGCTCTTACTTGGTCTCTGTTTTTCCCTGATTGCCCCAGTGGTGGGGGCCCTTGTCAATGGTAATTGGCGCCCCATTACTGTAGTAATTTCTACTTACATAGGCAAACAATTACAAAGCCGCTTAGCTATTCAGGGGTTGCCCTTATTAGCGCGTGCCCCAGTGCACTGTGGGGAAGACTTTCTCGGGAGATGTTGTGGGGAGATGTGTGTGTAAGATACACATGATAAATCCTTTCCAGACATTCTTACCTCCTTGAGTTTCTGAAGTCCTTCTTCAAAATCAGGGGCCCGCCCATGAGCCGAATCCAGCCCACCTCCTGATTTTTTTTTTAAGTAAAATTTATTGGAATACAGTACCACCATTTATTTACATTTTGTCTAGGGTTGCTTTTGCACGGTAGTAGCAGAGATGAACATTTGTGGCCAAAACCATATGGCCCACACACCTGAAAATATCATCTGGTCTTTTGAGTGAAAAATTTGTCTACCTCTACCCTAGAGCTTGCTGAGATTTGGTCCAAGGTATTGTTAAGTCTGATGTCAGCAGAGTGGCTGTTGGGTGGTTCTTTAGAAGGTTAAGCATGCCTACAAGGCACCAGCTTCCCAAAAACCAGTCTTCCGATGTAGGAGAGGTAGCTATTTGCACTGGCAAGCAAAAATCAGGGCAATTCAGAATTGAGAAATTCCATTTTGTCTGATCCAACCATGTGCCAGCATTCCCAATTTCAGGCTTCTTATCCCTTCCCAACCAGTGCCCTACCTTTTATAAAAGAAACTGGGAAGCTCTGTGAATGAAATCGACCAGGAAGCAGCAGCCCTCCAATGGGATCTTGTGTTTAATGTTTCCGAACATTGGCCCGGCCAGAGATGCTTGCAGGCTGGCTAGGGGAAGGCTCATACGCTCTGACCATGACTCAGGCTGGGAACGTCAGCTCCTGTATTTGTTATTTCTTTCTGTAAAGGCCCCAGGATGCAGAGCACAAGCCATCCCACAGCACAGGTACTGCCCTCCTCACTGTTAATGCAACGGTTGAGGGCAACCGCCCCTTACGAGGCTTCCACGTGCTTAACTGCATTGAGCATTTCATTGGGATCACCTGCAGGAGATCACCTGACTGACTGGCAGGCCACCGAGGACCTTGGGTTACTAGATTCTTGTTTCCCATGGGAACTGTGATCAGATCAAGCCCATGTCACTGACAAAACCAATTTTTTAAAATCCCATCTTTGAGAGAGGTCTGCGGGGCCCGCCCCAATCCCAACTACATGGACACCCCCCTCCCCCAGAAGAATGCACTTCAGAGAACAGCACTGAAGCTACACCTCAGGGAGAGGGGCATCTCTGATCAGAGCACACAGGAGCAAATGAAGAGGGGAAAGAGAGAGAGTGGAGCACAACCTGGCCCACCAAGCTCCCGAGAACAACAATGCCTGCTCAGAGCAGCCAATGGAGAGAGAAGACCATAAGACACGACGTCCCTCACTGACCCTTAGTGCTACGAGGGACAACACTAGGGGCACAGTGCAGAAATAGTGCCCTATCTGACCACACCACACCAGGGTGAAGTGCTAAGGGCATGCAACAGAGCAGCAAGGGGAGCAAAGCAATGAAATCCCCGGAGAATACCAAAAGTAGACTTTGGGGACAGCACATGGCACCCCATCAGAATCTACCGGAAAAGACCCCTAAAGGTCAACAAACAGACCTGGAACTATTTATAGACTTTTCTTTTTCAGTCGATGTTTTTTTGTTGTTGTTTTTCTTTTTTGTTTTCTTTTGTTGTTTTGTATTGCTCTGCCTTATTTTTGTGCCTATTATTGTCCTGCAGGTCTATCTAGATAAGACAGGTGGGATAAACAACCTGGAGGAAAAAACAATGGACCAATGTTCCAGAGAGGAATTACTGAAACCCAAACAAAAGCTAAACATGATAGTGGGACAAGAGGAAAGTAAAAGGAAATAGAAGAACTAGGAGGCAAAGGGCACTTATAGAGGTCTACATACAGGCGTGTACATATGTAACTATATTTATATATAATGATAGGGAAATAGATCTATGTATATATATTTATATGTTAAGTATTAAGGTAGCAGATGGACATTGGGCCTCTACTCAAGTACTCCCTCAACACAAAAACACTTTGTTCTAATAACCTGGCATTCCGTGATCCTCACCTCCCCAACACAATCGCTGAAGACAAAATGGGTGCATAAGCAAATGTGGTGAAGAAAGCTAATAGTGCCCAGCTATCAAAAGTTAAGTATTAAGGTAGCAGATGGACATTGGGCCGCTACTCAAGTACTCCCTCAACACAAAAACACTTTGTTCTAATAACCTGGCATTCCGTGATGCTCAGCTTCCCGACACAATCAGTGAAGACAAAATGGTGCAAATATGGTGAAGAAAGCTGATAGTGCCTGGCTATCGAAAGATATAGAGTCTGGGGTCTTAAAGGCTTGAAGATAAACAAGCGGCCAGCTAGCTAAGAAACAACAAAATCCAATGTGTGATCATGAGGTGTCAATGGGATCAGGTATCAGGCATCAAAGAACAAAAAATCATATCATTGTGAGGAGGGGAGGGCAGAGTGGAGACCCAAAGCCCA